TCAGAGAGACATATTAGAGTCACTTTTTAAAGCAATATTATCAGCTAAAGTAAATTCAGTAAGAATTGTTCGAGAGTTGTTTAATGGAATTACTAACAATGAAAAACTCGAGTTTAATTTTAATCTTTTTCAAAATAACAAATTTGCTAAATACGTTATCCATATTATTGAATGTTATAAATTGGGTTTTAAGTATTTATCCAATGTATTTGGCACTAACTATGGTTATGAGGATATATTAAGTTTTTATCATGGTTTAGTTATACATGGAAAAGATCCAAGAATTTCTACATTTGCTGATATGATTAACAAGTCAATGTTAAGTTTATTTATGGTAATTGTTGAGAATGCTAACAGTAACGAGTTTATTAATAAGGTCATTCCATTGACTATTATGGAGTATGAAAATGTCAAATTTAGTGAGACACTTGAATTATCTCAGGTAATTTTGTTGAAATCTAATGAAGAAATGTATATCCAGAGGTTTATGTTAATTTTAAATAACGTAATAGTTCCATCTATTGATTTAGTAAATGATGGTGATAAAAATCCTGATGTTGCCATTGCATATTTGAACCTTATTAAGACGATACTTGAAGACGAAACAGGTGTTAAGTTTCAAACCAACTTTCATTTACTGATGAGTAATGCTAAGTATCCATCTATAATAACATCAGTGTTGACAACTATGGGATGTATGAAAGAAATTAGTGATAATTCTTTAATTCTTTTGAAACTAATATTTAATCAGTGTTATAAAGCAGGTATCTATCAATTCTTTATCACCTACACCATTACAACTATTGAAAATATACTTGGAATTCTTTTTGACAAAGATACTAGACAGAATAAGATGTTACAAATAGACTTACTTTATGATTTGATAAACATCAGTAACAATATTCCACTTCTACAATCTGACAAGACTAACCAGATTTATATTATTAATTATCTTGATGATTTGTTTAAGGAGGCTTTTAATAACGTTACATCAAATAGTAAAGAAATCTTCTACCGAGGGTTGTTTGGTATAAAAAACAAAGAGTTATTTGCTGATCATGTTAAAGATTTTATTGTGAAGGTACATGAATATGGTAGCGATGATGAATTAAATGAAGAAATGCAATTACTTAATGAGAGAATGGATAAATAAATTGTTATGTGATATTTGAGTGGTTGTTGTAGTGTTTATATCATTTATTTTATTAATTTAAAGAGCC